TCTTTAAAATCCATATAATTAATCACTATACCTTCAATAATTACCCTGTACTCTTAAATATCGCTTAGTACTTAGAAACAATATTGCTTGTTTGGTAATTGTATGGAGTAAATAGCATTAACTATGGTAGTATAGCATTGGGTCATAGAGTTTGTATGTATTTTGTTCACACTTTCCATGACTACATATTTAGTCAGGGACCCTAATGGCCCTTGGATGCAGTAACTTTACAGTGTGTGGGCTTTTTATTCACTTTAACTGCTTGCATTTGACCACCACATTGATGAGTAATATCTAACATGCATGTTAATATACAGTTTTATGAAGTCAGCTGTCTAGGAATGTGTTATCATTCAGCCGTTTGCATTATTGTTTCTAACACACACCCACATTCATGCACACCAGATTTTGTCTGGAAAGCAAGCACTAGATGCCTTAAGTTTGTACCATATACTGTTGAGTGAGTGACTGTGTCCTGATACTGACATATGGGACATTTAATTTTTTTCAGTATTTGTTAGTGTGTGGGTAAATAGCGTGGCACATAACCCAGAGCAGTCCAGGGGCCAAAGTGGTAGTGCCTGACGGTCCTAACTTTAATGGTGCTGGTATTTTGCTGGTAAAGCTTTAAACAAGTGGCCGTTTCTAGCATCTGTTTTGGAGAAGAGAGTGGATACCAGTGTAAACAAGTACCAATATTAAAAGCAAGAAATTAAAAGAATATATTGACCCCTAATAGCTTCTCACTGTTCCTTGATGTTTGAATTTTGCAGAGCGAACAGTAGAACCTTTTCTTTAAAAGCTAGGTGTTTATTTGTCAATGATAGACTTAGATACAGGAACAGATGGGAAATACTCATTTAGACTTACACCCCACCTAAGAAAATGGAAATCCACAGGATTAGGCTTAAGTGGACACCAACTGAAAAGCGGTGCTCCCTGTACAATGGTGGTGGTGCTCTTTTCTCACTCATTGTGACAGTCATCACTCTCATATCCTTGTCTTACCCTGATGTGTACTGCTGTGACAAAATACTTAGCACTAGGTAACAGTTCCAAAGGCTAAATCCATAACAGGTTCTGGTTAAACGAGGGGTGAGGTCTGTATCTTCACTTGGCAAAAGGAAGTGAATGCACTCTTTCAAACTCCTATAAGAAAGGCAGCGTTAATCAGCCCATGAGGCTCCATCCTCATGACATGAAAACCTCCCATTTAAGTCTCAGCCTCGCAGTGTGTGCATTGAGAATTTGCAGCATATGAATTCTCATATCATGACCTACAAATACTGTTGATTCCATCGCCACCTCTGGCCTATATGGAGAATGCCAAAGGGTCCTAAAAAATAGAGATTTACAAAATAGAATTGACTCATAATTGTGAAGTGATTGTATAGAAGAGTTAAGCAGGTGTCATCTGCTATCATGGCCAAGTGTTGGAATGGAATGGAGTGGGGTGGGGCACAAGGAACAGGAAGCAGGACTTGGGGATGATTTTTGAATGCTAGGATAACATGTAGATATCAGTTGTTGAAACTATAGATGAGGCTGGCAGAACAAATAGAGAGCAAGGGAGACAACCAAAACCTTGAAGGACATCAATATCAGAGCAAAGATAAATCATTGAATTAATTTCAGAAAAGTAATAAATGTAGAGAAAAGCAACAGCAAGGCAAAGCGAGGAATAGTGGACACAGTCACAGGTTGAGCTTGCAGTGCCTTAAGTGTTCACTGTAGCTTAGGATTCCAGCATATCTCACCGATTACCACCACAAATATGCACCTTTACTTTAGTCTAGCTTTAGTTTGAAAAACTTAATCATAAAGGAAAGGTGTTTGTCCATCGTGAATATGTTTCCTGATGTGATTGGTTCCTTCGTGGAACTGTTGCCCTAAGTACATGTCAGTACCTGCTTTGATTGGATTTGTTTTTATGTTCCTGTTGGGTGGATCAATTTAAAAGGGTAATTATTTCATAACCTTTCCTGAAAAGAGGAATCTTATATACATGGTCTCCCTGGCAGCTGTGTTTTGTGTTGTGACCTTTTAAACCTTCTTTAACCTGGCCACCTCTTCATGGTCTGGCCAGAGCTGAGAACATCTGCATAGTTCCATAGCACTAACTGCAGAATCCCAGATACAGAACACAAAGATACTCTTTTCAGAGACACTTTTATGTGACCCACTGTGTATTCAGAGGTAGCCTGTCTGCTCCTACCCCCCAAAAAAGAGTTTAAGGGAATGGTAATAGAAGAAAATGATCCAGATTTATGTGTCTTTGAGAAGATAATCAGAGTGTAGCACTTATCTAAACTTGATTTTTAAAACGTTGCTTAGAAGTGGATTTGAGTTATGAGAACCCATGGTGAAGGACATGTGTTAAAACTCTTTCTTTGGTTAATGAAGTTGTCATTTAATCTGACTTGGGTTGTTTTGGGTGGGGGATTGTTTTTGTTTTCCCCTGAGACAGGGCTTTTCTGTGTATCCCTGGCTGTCCTGGAATTTACTCTATACCATAGACCAGGCTGGCCTCAAACTTAGAGATCACCTGCCCCTGCCTCCGGAGTGCTGGAACTAAAGGTGTGCTCCACCACTCCCCGGCTCAGAATAGGATTTGTAAGATGACAGAAACTGAGATAGAAAGTAGATAGGTCAGAAAAGACTACATCAAAACTTGTTGAGAAGTAGTGTATTTATAATTTAATGGTAGGCTTAATATTAGCAGTAAATTTACGTGCCCTTTCCCGTTTGTTCTTTGTAAATAGACATGCATTTCTCTGTATCATATTAATGGGAAAATTTCAAAATGTAAAATGAATCATCAAAGGTCAAAGGAAGTGTTAAGTTGCTGTGCGGTGGAGTTATTAATGTAACATGCATGTTTGTAGACTGAAGTTTCTGTCCCACCCAGTCCCAAAGCCTTTCAGTCCCAAATAAACACACAAAGGCTTACATTAATTATAAATGGTTTGGCCAATTGTTCAGGCTTCTTATTGGCTAGCTCTCTCTTAATTATTAACATATATCTATTAATCTATACATGGTCTTGGCTTACTGGAGAATGTCTGGGCATTCTGTCTTCCCAGTAGCTACATGGCGTTTCTCTGCCAGCTCACTCTCTGTGTTCTTCCTCCCAGAATTTTTCTAGTCTGGTCACCCCCTATACTTCCTGCCTGGTTATATCCTGCTTGTCAATTGGCTGGAACAGCTTTATTCATCAACTAATAAGAGAAGCATATTCATAGCATACAGAAGGACCTCCCCCATCACATGTTTATAAAGGAAAACACAAAACTGGGCTGCAGTATTCCACACCTCCCTCTTACTGATTTGGTGCAAGGGTGGGAGATAAAAAAGTACCTGGTGCAGCTAAAAATATGAAATTGAAATTCAGTTTGAAAGCCACTAAGAGATATGTAAGATTTTTCTGAAAAGTATTATCTTACATTATTTAATGTACATTAATACCTTTGGTTCAACTTTGAAATTTTATTTATTTTTCCCGTTGCTGGGGATCCAACCCAGGGTTATGCAAATATTAGGCCCATTCTCTATCACTGAGCTGTAGCCACTCCCTGCTCTTCTTTTCAGTCCTTGTAATGAAAAAAACCAAAAAGACAAAAAAGCAAAAGCCTGTGACAACCAACATGTTTCCATGTCAGTCACTTCCATTGTTGTCCTGTTATGTTTGTTTATGATTACAGCTCACTCTGTAGCCCTGGCTGCCTGGAGCATCTATGCCAATCAGGCTGGTCTCGTCTGCCTGCCTCCCAGGTGCTGAAGTTATGAGTATGCCTGACTGTTCTCCTGAGTTTGTTCATGGTAGCTTTTTACATAGCTGTAGCCCTTCTTCAAATAAAGTAACATTGTGATTTGTGTAGTTGAAATGTTGGTTTCCACTACCACAAAAAGTTAAGAGCATTGTTAGGTGTTTGATCATTATGGTTACATCTGCACTAGAAGAGTAGAAAGTCCATGATGTAAGAACCTTAAGGATCTGTTGGGAGATTGATCCAAGGTGTTATGAAGGTTTCTTCCAGCTCTGAATTACTCAATTTGTCAAAAGTACACGCATGTAAGACAAGTCTACTGGGGTGTTGTGGGGGAGCAACATGGCCTCTGGGATAGGAGCATGGTGTTGCTGCTGCTGCTATTTAGTCAGCTCTATCTGGCTTCTTTTTCTCCCCCCCCCCTCCTTTTCTGGTTTTTCCAGCAGAGTTTCTCTGTAGCTTTGGAGCCTGTGCTGGCACTCACTGTGTGGACCAAGCTGGCCTCAAACTCACAGAGATCCACCTGCCTCTGCCTCCCGAGTGCTGAGACTAAAGGTGTGTGCCACCAACACTTGGCTTCCATTTGGCTTTTTGCCTCATTTTCCTCGTCTGTATTGTAGACTGTCAATTGGAGGCATAGTATTGTAACTAAGTAGGAACTGGAGCTTGTTTTACCTTGAGCCAGATTGTCAGCCTTACTAACCTCATCTGTAAGAAGCAATAATGACTGCCAGGGTTGTTTAATGAGTAAAGTACTACTTAGCATTGGGCCTGACAGTAGTAGTTGCCCCGTGCAATGTACATCCTGCTGCTACACATGTCAGAAGCATCCACAGGCACCTTTTTGGTGGGTGGTTAGAGGAACAGAAGATTTGAGAGGGGGAATGGTGCTTCTAAAAAATGAAGTGTTTCAAAAGGCTTCTCTGTAGCATTATTTTTACACATCTTAGTGAGCTTGCCAAGTTACCAAAATTTTGGGCATCATGTAAAATGGTTTTAAGTTTTGAAAACATTTATTTTATGTGTATGAGGTTTTCTTGCTTGTATGTCTATACACCATGTGATGCCAGAACAGGATGTCAGGTAGTTGTGAGTGCTGAGAACCAACGCCCGGTCCCCTTAAGTACTGAGCTGTCTCTGGCCCCCAAGGTGGTGTCTTGGCGGATTGGAATGTAAAAAGTGTATCTTTTGTTGGCCCTACTTCTCTCACACAATCCTTGTGCTGTGTTGCAGGTCTAGCAGGCAGAGTGCAGTGGAGGCCTCTGGTGCTGCCGTCATGCCGTTCCCGTTTGGCAAGTCTCACAAATCTCCAGCAGATATTGTGAAGAACTTGAAGGAGAGCATGGCTGTTTTGGAAAAGCAGGACATTTCTGACAAAAAAGCAGAAAAGGTATGCATCTGGCTATAACTCCTTTATTAAGGACCAAATATATGATAGACTGTGGTAACTTTGAAAAAAACAAAACAAAACAATACATTTCCATGCTGGTCTGGAACGTAGGACAGTCTTCTGAGTACTGGGATGTGATTGCCGGTGTGAGCCACAGCACCCAGTATTCATTGACTTGACTCCACTCTTGAAGTGGTAACTCTTGAACTCTTGAGAGCAGTGTTTCCATTAGCTTGGGACTGGGCATTTAATTCACAGCTACACACGTGTGTGTTGAGCAAGTGCTCAACCACTGAGTCACATTTTCTGTTCCCGGTTTTCCAGGTTTTTTTGTTTTGTTTTGCTTTTCTCTCAACCCATAACTTCTTCATCTACTTAATCACTACAGTCAAAAGCCTGGCTTTAATCTCAGTCAGGCCTTACCCACTATTTTCAGAAGAATCCTGTGTGTTCTGCTCCCTGAAGAGTTTGGAATAAAGCCTATTAGTTCCACTTTTTCTTGAAGACAATCCTTATAATCTATCTCACAAACTTTAGCAGTTGTTCCAGCCTCCATGAATCAGATAATCACATAGACGGGAATGTCTTTGTTTGGTTGGTTTTCCCTCATCCTTTTCCACCAAAGCCCCATTTATCTTTCAGAACCTTCACATGTATTTCCTTTTCTTAGAATAGAGTCTCAGAATCTTCCTTCTTCATCCCATTCCTGCCAACCAAAACAAATCTCCACCATTTGGGCATTTGTCTTGAAATGCCAGAACGGACACCATCTTAAACTTGTTAACTTATGTTTTGTCCCCCTTGCTAGTCTGAGAGCTCCAAGCACTGTGTCTTCATTGTCCCCTTGTGCCATATAGGATGTCTTAGAGTAAATGCCCATCATTTATGAATGAGTGGTAGGGTGAAATCTTCTTCCTTATCTTTATTTATTTCATCCTATCTAAGGATGAAAGTTAGGTTACTTAGCCACTACTTTTTTTTTTTTTTTTTTTAAATAAAGTAGTAAGACCTTAGTTTTTAGATAGTGATGTAATCATTGTTTGACTTGATATCCTTACTCTCAAATATTATTTCACAATCTATTTTAGATGTTTTTAAGTGAATTTGTAGAACATGTGACTGATACTTCCTATTCTGAATGGTCTCAGAGAGGCTAAGATGGCTTGGTGTTTAAGAGCACTTGCTGCATCTGCTTCTGACCCCCCACAATTGCCTATAACTCCATTTTCCAGGGGTATGGATGCTTGGAGTCCCTCCTCTGGACTCTGTGGGCACCTGTACTCAAAACATGTAGATACCTGCACATATAAACACATAAGTAAAAATAGCATAAATTCTAAATAGCCCCAGAGTCATTGGATGTGAACTGTCATTCCTGCTGTTTTCCTCTGTGGCTTTATCAGTGTCTTTTGATGTATGGCTGACTGACGTAGCCATATCCCATCTCCTTTTGTTTTCTCATCCTATTTAATATTTCCAGTTGTAAAGAGTACGAGTGTGTGTGTGTGTGTCTGTGTCTGTCTGTCTGTCTGTCTAAAAGAACTGCAGATAAAGGTAAGTGCTAGCATGAACACAGAATGCAGAACTGTCCCATCTTACTAAAGTGATTCATAAGATATAAAATTTGAAGAAGTCTACTTCCAAACAATGGAAACAGGTATGGTCAGGAAATTAGAGAGGCAGTTAGCAGAGCCACAGCATAGGCTTGCATACCCTCTCACTATTGGATGCCTACACCTGTGGAAAACAGCCAGCAGATAGTCCACAGTGTCTAACTTGAAATAGAAGTAGCTACAGCTAACAAGAAGCAGGACTGAAGCCTATGAGCTGACCAGCGTGTCTTAGACAGAAATTTGAAGGAGAACAGACCCCGTAAAAGAGTGATTCATACCTGTAGGAATTGCCTCAGTGGCTGTTCCTTCATCCTTAAATTGTTCGTTGTTGAAAGTATGTATGTATTCCATAAAATGATTCTTCTTTTGCTGCACCTAAAGATACAGTCTACTCCTTAAATTCTGTTCACCAAATTAAGTGTGTGTGTGTGTGTGTGTGTGTGTGTGTGTGTGTGTGTGTGTATGAGGGGTGGGGGAGGAGAGAGTTATTCTGGTAATTAAGTCATGGCTTTGCAAATACTGGGCAAGTAACTCTGCCAATGAGCCACACCACAGCCTCTATCTACCTTACTCCATTTTCGACACTAGGAATGTCATACTTACAAGATGGACAAGGTCTCTGCTTTTGAGAGCCTCCTTTCTAGTTGAGAAGGATGGATGATGGACACATACTGAAACCAGAATTTCAGGTAGTAGTAAGAAGTAATAAAAAAGCAATAAAATGGACTAATAGAGCATAGTGCTTAAGCTTTTTGTTCTCTAGACATCTTTATAATCTCAAATTATTAAGACCTTAAAAAAGCTTTGTGGAAGTAGGATTTGGTATTACCCTATTAGAATTTAAAAATCAAGAAAGGTTTTTTTGTTTGTTTGTTTTGAGACAGGCTTTCTCTATGTAGCAGCTTGGACTGTCCTGGAACTTACTCTGTAGACCAGGCTGGCCTCAAACTCACAGAGATCCGCCCTGCCTCTACTTCCTGAGTGCTGGGATTAAAGGTGTGTGTCACCACTGCTCGGCTCTTTAAAATCTCTTTTACTGTGCTGATAGAAGACCACTGGAGCCTCACACTTGTGCTGGCATCAGTCTTGCACAGTGTTGGTTTAAGTATATAAAGAAAATCTAGTCCCTTATAGACTTACATAGAAAAAGAGGGATAAGGCTAGAGAGATGGCTCAGCACTTGCTGCTCTTACAGAGGACCCAGCACTCAGATGGCTTCTCAGAACTGTAGTTTGCTGGCACTGCCTTGCTGTGTGCTGGAGTATCAGCCCTTTAATGTGAACAGCAGTGCAGTGGGGGCAAGACAAATGTCTTATCATTGATGTGAAAACATCTGACCTTTTGGAATGGTCTCGTGGAGTCTAAGAGCCCTTCCTTTGCAATGTACTGTGATAGTTAGTGGAAATTATGGCAGGAAGAAACTGGCTACAGAGGTGGGGGGAATAATTCTAATTTACATAAGGTTTCAGAGAAAAACCAGTTAGGACAGTGGAAGGAAGTGATGGAACCCACATCCTCTGCTTGACTGAATCAATGATTCTTTGATTCACAAGCTATTTTGTTCTCTTAGAGGACAGTTGGAATGCCAGGGTCATTTTTGGTAATGGCACTAGGGGAAGGCTGCTACTGGCATTCAGTTAGTAAAGCTGGGGATGCTAAAATTAGAACAGCAACAAAGAATTACCCAGTGAAAATGTCATTAGTGTGGAGGTTTGAGAACTCCCACTCTAAGCCAGCATTACACAGGAATAGACCTGCTATGAGAATAGAATAAACATGGGAACTTCTGAAGAATAACTCCATGTGAATTACTTATTCTGAAACAGATAAAGAATAGAGGAGAAAACACCTGAGATTTCTAACTGATTTGTCAATACCTAAAAGGAAATGGTGACTCAGGAACATGGCGAAAGAGAGAGAACTGAGACATGAAAGCAGAGGAAAGACGAAGTTTCTGAGTATTAAAACCGTGAGACACATTGTTAGTACAGTGCTGAGCCATTAAATAGGGAACTAGATATAACCTGCTAGCATTATACTAGAGATTGTGGCAGTACACAAAGAAATTGTGTAAAAATCTAAAATACAGCTATTTAAATAAAGATGAGAGTTTAACAATAATAAGCTATTAATAAATATTGACAAAATGGAAGAAGAGCTAGGCCAGAAGTACAGGCATGGTGACAGGCACCTTTAATCCCAGCACTTGGGAGAGGATCTCTGTGTTTGAGGCCAGCCTGATCTACCTAGTGAGTTCCAGGCTACATAGAGAGACCCTGTCTCAAACAAACAAAATGCAAGCAATGATAGGAAAAGTTAGGACTGCTAAATGAGTAGACTATCCAGCCTGCTTTAAATGTCAGCTGTAGAAAATAGTGTGTCTGTGCCCGTATTGGTGTCATCTGTCTGTCTCAGTCACTGTAACAGAAAGTACAGACTGTCCAGGAATACTTTAATGAGGAAGTATGCTGAACCCTTTTCAGAAGCACAAAGTGCTGGCTGGACCCATGTTACAAATAAGGAGGTGAGATGCTTCAGATGTCATTTCTTCCCTATGTCTTTAAGTCTAAAACAGTTCTATTCAGATCATAACAGAATGTTTGGGGACTTGACAGATGAGACTCCACTCTGAAAGAAAGCATACTCCTAACCCACTTCTGCTGATCTTCATCCTCATGCATGACTCCATTCTTGTAGGCACAGGTCAAAAAGCACCCATGATTCTTCCCAAATCAGTTGTTTAAAGAAAATAATTTTCAAAGAGTTGTTTTAATTTTTTAGTGATTTATTTATGTCTATTGGTGTTTTGCCTGTATGTCTGTCTGTGTGAGTTGTCATATCCCCTAGAATTGTAGTTACAGAGAGGTGTGAGCTGCCAATGTGGGTGCTGGGATTTGAACCTGGGTCCCTTAGAAGAGCAGCCAGTGCTCTTAAGCACTGAATCATCTCTGCAGACCCAAAGAAGAAAATAACTTTTAAACTTAGAGTCTAATCCTACCCCTGGTCTGAGCCATCCTTCGCACTGTTTAGGATTTCTATAGTAGTTATAACCATTATGATCTTGTCAAAGAAAGTCATATAATACTTATTTTAAATTAAGTCCTAAATTGCTTTCTGCAGCCAAAACTTGTCTAGGTCTGTTTTTGTAAATCTTTTGAACAAAGGGTAGTGTTTTACATTTTTAAGGATTGGTAGTCCCAGCCTGTTTCCCAGCACTCTGGAGGCAGTCAGATATTTGTGAGTTTGAAGCCAGCCTAGGAGTTCCAGGACAGCCAGAATTGTATGAGAACCTGTCTCAAATAAACAAACAAAACCAAATACATGAGATAGAATTTGTATGTGTCCTGCAAACCTCAAATATCTAGCACCTTTACATTTACAGAAAAA